CATACCTTATCAGATACAGTCGAGTCCAGGAAACCACAAAACGATGGGAAGCCCCTTCATGTGAGCATTATCGAGGGCTGTCCTCGTTTTCGACTGAAGCTCCACATTTGATCCCAAACAGGGTCAGTTGGTCGCTGATGGGCACTGACAGATGGCTGAAGAGGCAGGAAGCCACAAGAGAGCCCGGTTTCGCCAATGGGACAGACTCAATGGCTTCCGGCCATTGGTGAACCCGTTTAGTAATGGTCTCACTTTTCCTAAACCCCCCCGCCCGTCTCCCCCCCACACACACACATCATCCGTTGTTCTAACAATGCCTGGAAGTAACAGAGACCTACATCTCCCACACTGTTTTCTTAATCGTTGTTTTCCTTTATGGTTTTTTCCTCTTCGTTTTTTTCTTATACACAAAGAACACAATTGATCCGACTCTTCCAAACACATTAAAGCACAAGGATGCTCACATGGACTCTACATCCCATACGAACATTTTACTTCCCATTTTCATTTTCAAATGATTTGTGTACGAGATAAATCTTAGCTAGTGTTTTTATTATGATTTGAATTTTAAAGTAAATTTTCAGGCAGGTACACATAACCATATTTTTTGGCTTATAAGTTGCAGTTTTTTTTCATAATTTGCATGCCCTGCGACTTATGCACCGAAGCAACTTATTTGCATTTTTTTCCCATATTTATAAACCAATTTTTGGCTGAGATCTGACGATTTAATTCATTCTGACTGAAAATATTGAACACTACCATTTTCAGCCACTAGATGGCACTCGAGTAGTATGGCATGCCGTTGTGTCATGTAATAGGTAAAAAGTGGCTATTAATGACACAATCGACTTACGATAGACAGCCACCTTTGTCCAGCTCCGGGATTTTTTTTTTCATTCAACCTTTATTTAGACCCCATCATGCAGCATGCCTGGAGCAACCATCAAATCAGCTTCATATTGCTTCGCCGCCCCTGCGAAATGCAGCTGATTTGACCACTGAAGCATTTGTTAAGTCAAAGTTCAACTGAGACACACCTTTGCTATAAAGTCAAGCAAACAAATACAGTAATTGTTTTAGGTGCTTATCTTGTTAAATTTCGAAGAAATGCGCAGCGTTCCTCCTTCCTGATTTCCTCCCTCCGCGCGCTCCCTGAGCACAGAGGCAGCAAATACTTTGGAAATGCAGCTGATTTGACTGTCAAAGTGCATTTATTAAGCAAAAGTTAGACTGAGACACACCTTTACTATAATTTAGAGCAAACAAATAATTGTTTTTAAGTGTTACTCTTGTTAAATTCTTGTTAAAGTCCTCCCATACACGCTCCCGCAGCCGCCATTTGACAGCCAATTGATTTCTGGCACAACACCGGCCCACATTTCCAGGTTGTCAGCTGTGACGCATAATAGATGCGACTTATACAGTGAAGCAATGTATTTATGTATTTTTCCACTTTATTGGACATATTTGGACTGATGCGACTCATAAGGCGGTGCGACGTGTACGGCGGAAAATACGGTACTCTGCAACCAGTTTACGAGAGTTAAAATGTGGATACTGGTCTGTGCAACGCAAAGAACGCACAAGTTAGTGCTACCCTTGCCCAGATTAGACCAAATAAAATCATATTAAGCAAACTTGCCATTCCTTAAATGAATATACTGTATTGCTCACCACCCTGCATACCCAAGTTTAAGATAATCTCTTGATCAAAAATGTTGGAGCTATACCCGTTTTGTCAAACCTTAAAAAACGTTTTGAGTGGTCTTGTGTAAAAGTAAAGACCTTGTGTTATCTGATAACTCTCAAAGTACGTGTTGTAATGACTGTCAACTACTACCACACCAAATTTTAGATCAATATCTGTAAAATTGACTGAGATTTTCATGGTGGTGATGAGTGATAAAATCTATTTTAGTAACAGGGTCACTCCTGCGGGGTATTGGTCCAAGCAGCTTTTGTCCCCCCCCCCCCCCCCCCCCCCCAGCTTCTTTGAAAATCTCCTCCTGTTTAAAACTTTGGTCAAAGGAAATACTTTGGCTCAAAGTTCACTTTTGCTGTGTTTAATAAACTGTGGAGTCACGGCTTCACTGACGATGAGCCAACTTTCGGCTTGTTTTTCAGCTCTCCGTGACCTTTGCACCGTCAACCCCCTCACTCCTTTACTACCTGTCCCCCCCCCACCTCTGTTTCATCTCCTGCTTTGCTTTATATTTTGACGGATGTCCTGCGTTTTCATCCATGTCTCCATGCAGCTTCACAGGATGTATTCATGACTCTGTGTGTGTTATTTGGAGGGGTGTGTATGTATGTGTGTGTAAGTTCCTGCACATCTGTCGGCTGCATTTGTCTCCCTCAGGGTGGGGTAACGGTTGTTTTTCAGCTCTAAGAGAAGGTGTCTCCCATCTAGAAAGATCTACCGTAGTTTGTCTTGCTTCCTTCCTCATAGTCCTCATAACACTTCGCCTCTGCTCTCTGGCAGCAAGCCACAGGCTTCCGGACAGAGTATGGAGCACTTATTACCTCCGCAAAGGAGATAATGTAGTTGGTATGATCCTTCTTAGCACAGTTACTCAAAGTTATGCTCGAGTTTTCATAAAAATTTCACCACATTTAGGACACAATGCTTTAAAAATGTCTCTGACCACCTTTGTTTTCTTTGTGTTTTGCTTCCAAGAAGTCAGATTCTCCGTTAAAATTTTAAACTGGTTCTTATCAGTAACGCTTCGAACTTCTTGGAGGTCTTTCAGACTTTTGCTTTGGACTTTATCTACATTTTCCCTGCATTCAGTTCATGTTATTGACAATGACAACACATTGACCAGACGAACTGTTTTTGAAAGTTATGTCTTTATGAAACAGAGAAAAATCCAGTAAAAACCTGACTGCTGAGAGATGTATTATACATACATAATATACCTGTAAATAAGTTTTCAGCTAATAGACTTTTTGGAATCACATTGTTGAAGCTCAAACACAATTTTGTGTCAAACATTGATATATTGGGTATTTTCTATAGACTAATTTAAATAAATCAGAACAAACTGTGTCTTTGTGACAAACTATGCCTTTGTACTAGCTGGCAACTTACTAGCTAGCTGGAAACTTTACTTGGTTAAAAAATACTATAAATCTCTGTAGTGCTATTCAAAAGACCACATAAGATCAGAAAACAATAATATAGTTTGTCTAACTTTTAGCTTTAAATTTCTTCATTGATTCACTTAGTAAAATAGAAACAAATGGAGAACAACCAAGTGACGTTACACTGTGTAGCTAACAAAAGGATACATGCAACTAGCAAGAGTTATACTGTTTGTTGAGGTACCAGTACCTGATTCCTGGTCCACTCTTGGTCCAGTATCTCAAAGATCCAAACAATTTGAGACTCTAATCTTCTTAAGATAACTAAACATGACATTCTTTGATAAATTTTATTTAAATTTGCAGTTTTTTTTTTGGTCATTTTACCCCAGGTTCCTGAATGCAAGGGTGGCGCTGGTGAGCAGCCACAGCTGGAGGTCATTCCCCTGATTGACTCCAGGATTACTTAAAACTTCAGATGAGCTCCATTCCTTGCTAGAGCATTATCCTACTTATCGGTACATGTGCCTCCAGTATTTTAGTGTACTTATATGCTAAAGTACTTACCTTGTGTTTTGCCTTCGTGTTTCCAGAGTATCGCTGTCCTGAGCCCGACCTTCTTGGATCACCTACCTGATACCATATGGTACTCACCTGCAACGCTCCTTTCCTCAGCCACGCTCACGTCATCCACCACTCACCTTCTACTTACCTGGACCTTCCTGTTTGGAAAAACCCTCAGCCTTCTCCTCCTGCTGCCTTTAACCTCACAACTGTAAGGAACCAAAATTCAGATGTTGCTGTCTGCTGCCTAATGTCGTCTTCCAGGAACTAATCCGTTCCCTCTGTTTCACAGCCCCAGATCCTGCCTGTAAATAATTACCTGATCTTCACTGTAAATAAACTTTTTCAATTATATTCGGAGCTTGGATTTGTTTTCCTCTCAGTCCGTATACTCTCTGGGTTCCCCCATTACAACAGATTTTCTGTAAAATATGACAAATTCTTTTGAAAGACATGTTCTCTCTCTACCAGAGTCTGTTCAAGTTATTCACTTGTTCACTATAAGCAACTCTAACTAATTCAAAAGTAGCCCCCAATTACCCAAAATGCAAAGTGCTGTCAGGTTGTGTAGCTATGAAAAGTTAATTCACTGTGTCTTTGCTGCTAGTAACAAAACTGTAAAACTGGTTCAAAGTGTATGGATCCTTTTTATCTCTGAATCTTTCATTGGTCATTCATAATTCTTTTGAAAATAGGTGAATGCGCTGCCAAAGTCCAAAGTAGATTGGTAATCGAGCATTTTACAGCGTATCTTTCAGTGCCTCTTTCATCTGGTTAAACAAGATCATCAAACATTTGTCATCAAAAGACGCATCAAACTTGAGTTTAAAACAATCTTGCTGTGGTGATTCGAAAACTTGTTCATTAAACAATGAGCTGGTGTTTCAGCTTCTTTGGTGGTTTCCTTTGTCCTGGAGAGGGCTGAAGGGTACAGTATAGCAAAGCCTTGGTGGGGTATGTTCTCCACTTCACCCCTGGACAGACGGACACGTACCATATCTCCCCTAGGGTTTCAAGTATATATTTTTTCAACATGGCACAAAAACACACTGAGCTTTCCTGCCATTACTTCTTGCAGAGCCATGGGGGTTTAGAAAAACTATAAGGCCACTAAAAATACATGGAGCCGGAGTCTTTTCCTGCTTTGCTTCCACCATACGCGTGGGGCCATTGAGGAAAGAGGAAACAAGCAGCTCTGGTTGTAAGGGAGTTTCCTGCAGGACATTATAAAGAGCTCCCTGCCGGTCATCTGCTCTCACAGTCTGAACAGAGGAGGCTGCTCCTTATCTCTGACTACTGACCGAACACGAGCCAAAGGTTTGACGGAACAGCGGTGAAAGTTAGTCTCGTCCCTGCTGGTCGGGGTGAGTCCTGATTGTATAAAACCTCATACGTATTTTAATTCTTTGTGTCCATTAGCTTGTTTGGTTCTGAACTCATTTTACAAATGTACCTGTAATAAAGAAGTATTACATTTTCCAAAATTGTCAGCTACTTTTTTATATTTAAACATCATTGCAAAACAGAATAGGAGTATAAAATAAAGAAGTAACTTCTTTTTTTTTCCTCTTACAGGTACGAGTAGGGAGCTGGTCTCACCTAACAGATGTGTCTGGGACACTCCCATTATATTTATTCTATCAATTATATACAGGTAGGTTGTCAAAAACTGAAAATATGCAAACATTCATTGTTTCAGCAGGATTACAAATAGCATATGTGATTTGATTACAGATCCAGCTGAGTCCGATGGAAGTTTTGGGAGTCTACAGGACTGATCGAGGGCAGACGATGCGGCCTGAGGGATACGTGAAGGAGTTCACCCGTCACTCCAACGACGTACTGCAGAACCTGAATGAACTGCGACACAGAAGCATCCTGACCGACACCACCCTTGTTGTTGGCAACGTGCAGCTGCAGGCACACTGTGCTGTGCTCGTGGCCTGTAGGTTAGTGTACAAGAACTTCATACAACTCAATTACTCAAGCTTTCTCAAGTTGTTGAGGTTTGTGATCATGATCTTTCTAAAACACAAGCCAATGCTTTTTGTTTATGCCCTTTGCTAAATATGATATTTCTGACCTCTGTGCAGTGGGTTCTTCTACTCCCTGTATTCCCGCCGGGTGTTACTTCAGGGCCGCGGTGGAAGTAGTGAGCAGCTCTCGACAGTCTCTCTCCCCAACACGTTGGATCCATCCTGCGTCTCAGTGCTGCTCGATTTCATGTACACCTCCCGCCTCCCTCTGACCCCGAGCATTGTCTCAGGAGTGCTGGCTGTCGCTGCCTACCTGCAGATGGACCACGTGGCTGACACATGCCGGGACTTCATGCAGCTGCACTGGTGAGGGCCTGGAAAATCTGTTGCCTCACAAAATCTCCTGAAGTTTGTAGAAAAATGGTAAAATGCTTTGACTGGTCTTTTTCAGCACAGAGAATGTGAGTGACAGATACCCTCAATTGGAGCTGGACTCCAGGGTATCTGTAGCCTCTGTATCTCCTAAAGGAGGAGACTTGCCTGATCCAAGACCCCGGCGATCAGCCCCAACAGCAGTAGAAACAAGGTCAGTGAATAAACCAAGTATCTGAAAATAACGGGATCATTACATTACATGTTGCGACAGTTGTTAGCTTGCGTTCTTTTGTCCAACAATTTTGACCCATTACAGTACTTCCTTTGTTTCTTCCTGCAGGTTCCCCATTGTCCTTGAGAGCTTTCTCAAGCCAGGGGTTTTCCCGACCTGCCGGTCCAGGTCAGGGGAGCTGAAAGAAGACCCACTCCCGAGCAGCCTGACTTCATCTCCAAGCAGTCCGGACCGCTCTAGCTGCCACCCAAACTCTCCTGCCGAGTCCAACACCTGCAGCAAAAACCTCATGGTGAGTCTCAAGAAAGCTGGCCAACATGGCCATGTTTGAATTCACAATAAATCTCAATTAATCGAACGGCTTTTAATCGTTTATTTCAGAGTGAAACCAAAGCTACGCCAGACCCAAAGGCCTGCAACTGGAAGAAGTACAAGTATATAGTTCTGAATCCTCTCTGTGCTGCTGCTACAGTCAAAGTAGAGGAGACAGAGGAGCTTCAGTGTCAAGACAACAGGATGGCTTCAACTCCAAAAGCTCCAACAGAGGCGTGGTCTGGAGAAGTGCCTGGTCAGATTGATAGGTATATCAAAATATTAGGAATAATGACATATCATAGGATGTAAAATAGAAAGATATTGGTAAAACTGTTCAACATTTCCTCAGACAGGGGCAGGCCTCCTGCTACGAGGGTTCTGGCCGAGCCCCTCCCCTCGGGCCACCTCCCTCTGTGGATTGTCCAGCGATGCCTCCCTCTTACAACGAGGGAACGGGTAAGGCCCATACACAAACAGTTCAGTCACATTATCCAATTAAATAAGACGGTGTTTAACACTGATGTCTTTTCCAGTTTCACCCGGCACCATTTTTCCAAAACTGCCCCCTCCCGATCCAGAAACCGCCCATCTTAACTTACCTCCAGTCAAACGTGAGAGCCACTACACGCCCTATTGTTTTTCTGGCACTCTTCAAGCAACCAAATCACCCTGCCCAGGTGAAACTAAACAGGTCTCTTCCAAAAGCACTCTCCTGTTTAGTCTTTGCTTTTAGAGATTAATAGCAAATATGTAACAACGGTAAAACTTGTGCCGACAGGAGACAAGCCGTACCGTTGCAACGTGTGTGGAGCTCAGTTTAACCGACCGGCCAACCTGAAAACCCACACCAGGATTCATTCTGGAGAGAAACCTTACCGCTGTGACACCTGCGGCGCAAGATTCGTTCAGGTGAGGGCCACAGTCTGTAAATCTATGGATGAATCCAAGGTCTAATTCCTAAATAATAACAGTTAGCCATATTGGGTGTCATACTAAATGTTTATTGGAGCGTTTCAAAGTGTATTTTATCAGTAAAACAAACAACTTCTGCTCTCCCACAGAATACATTGCATTAACCCACACCAAGGCTGAATGTTATACATATTCTAATGTTTACTGTGCATTTACTCCACACTCTTTGGCCTTTAAATGAAAGTTCCAAAAAGTAGCAGCCGAAATATTCCACTGAAACATATAAGAATAACAACCATAACACTTAAATTTTTTTTGTTTTTAGTGGTGACTGTAGGACTCAATATTACATCTAAAAAAATCTAAGTTTTCACAACACTGGCGCACATTTGGATTCCAAGCAGCTTTCTCTGAGGAACCCTGACTTTGTCTAACAAAACACTGATAATCGTCATCATGACGCTTCTGTTTCATTTGCTGCTTCTGGCTTTGTCAATATGTAAGGGTTAGAAAGCCCTGCAACATCACACCATGTCATGTGGTTGTTGGCGTCTTAAAGAGACGAAAGCTGTTACAAAGTATTTTAAACAGGAGGTGCTTTGTCAGTGTGCTTATAAAAGTAAAACTTGTTTAAATTTCCAGTTTAAAGCATTTAAACTTGATTTAATGAAAAAAACCTGAATTATGAACTGATACTGGAGCATCTCATGAGTTTTTAAAACTACTTAGCGATGACAAAAGACTGATTTTCGGAGTGTCTGATCCATACTGAACTAAATTCAATTCAGTTCAATTCAGTTTATTTTTTTGATTCAAGATCTGTTTTATTGAAATTTTTTCCATTTTTTAACAAACAGAAAGAAGAAAAAAAAATAAAAAATAAAAAAAATAAAAAGAAATAGCAAAGTTGGCAATAAAAACATTTACATGTAAGCATTAGTAAAGACATAATTGGCTTGAGTCAATTTAAATTATATCACATACAGTATAACCAACACAGGATAAAGGAAAATAATCCCTCCCTAATCACTGCCAAACAGAAAGGAGAAAAAGAAAAGAATTAAGAAGCTAAGATAGCCAAGATACTGCATTACCCCGAAGGAGTTGTGTTGTCAAAGAGACTGGAATAAATTCAGGAAAGTTCCCCAAACCTTCTCAAATTTGCCTTCTCAATTCAGTTTATTTAGATAGCGCCAAGTCACAACAGAAGTCGTCTCAGGGCACTGAACAGAAACATTCATATTCTCTGAAATTGGTTTCTCAGATTACACTATTGGCTTATTCTCTAATTATCTCTCAGATCGGAGACAATGTGTACAACATAACGGTACTTCCTCCAGTTATCTGTTAACAATGGTGTACCGCAAGGTTCAGTCTTAGGACTCACCCTCTTCACAGTCTACATAAGTCATGTTGGTCAGATCATTCCTGATGCATCCTTACATTTCCATGCTGACAACACAGCTGTTTACTGTGCATATTGTTTCAGAATAAAGGAACACCTCTACACCAAAAACAATGATCCAGAGACATTTTCTATATTAAACGTAAATGATATGTGAATTTTCGACGACTGTTTGAAGTCCTAAAAATGAGACAGTTTAATTGAAAGTATTTTATTTGAGTGTTGCACCTCTCAAACCTTTCTGTGTCTGTCCCGGTGTCAGGTGGCCCACCTCAGGGCCCACGTCTTGATTCACACCGGTGAGAAACCCTACCCCTGTCACACCTGCGGCACCCGGTTCCGCCACCTGCAGACCTTGAAGAGCCACCTGCGTATTCACACGGGCGAGAAGCCTTACTCGGTAAGTGCCAAACCATTTAACGAACGCAAAGACAGGATGTTTTTTTTTTTTTTTTATTTATTATCCAGCGTGTCTCATGAGCGCTTGTCTTCCCAGTGTGAAAAGTGTGACCTCCACTTCCGACACAAGAGCCAATTGCGCCTTCACCTGCGCCAGAAACACGGCGCCATCACCAACACCAAGATCCGCTACAAGGTGCTGACCGAGCCCTTCCAGCCTCTCCTGCAGGCCTGCTGAAGAGGGGCCTCACTGAGCATGAGTACATCTGTGGTAAAAGGGTTAACCAGATTATTAAACTCCAAGTGCCAATCAACAACTTTTAGGCTAATGACAATAGGATTCGGGCATCAAATAAAGAGCTTAAGCTATCTAGACTTTAATTGTTGGGCGAGCTTTGGATTGAACAAATCACACTAATACTTTGGAGGAACTCTTAGGTGGGTTTTCAGGGACAGAGATGTTTAAAGTGGGTTGATGTAAGTAATTCTGAAGGTTTGTGAGGAGGCGTAAAGAGGGGAACGATGCACGGAACGTGAATTTTACAGAAAGAGTGAGTATGTGAACAGTGAACGGAGGGATAAAGCAAGTTTAACTGAGGTTTGTAATGCTTGGAACAGTTAAAATTGAATGTGGGCTTTAAATCTAACAGAGCACTTAAAATGTTTGTTTGTTTTTCTCGTAAATGTGTATTTAACTCAGATTTATCTTGTTCTTTTGGCCTGGGGCCTTTGTGGTGTTTCTAAAGAATGTGTCTGTGCAGTAGAACCTGCTTTATAGATTTAATAGCTAAATATGATGAAGGCATTTAAACAAGACAACTGAAAGCAATTGAATTGTTATCAATAAATTAAGTTCATCTGATCAATTTAAATTAAAATCCTTTTTATATCAAATGGTATTTGGTGTTTATTTGCTGTACATTAAGAGAAGTTTTTAATATTGTCTTTAACTGCGACCGCAGCAGACAGATTGAATATATTTTAAGTTCTTCCTCTCGTTAGAGAACTCTTTCTGCTCGTGAATCACCTCATGAATCAGTTTTCAGGTCAGGTTTTGTTTTGCTCCATGTGGAAACAATGAATCTGAGGGCACCTGTTTCCTGCCGGGTCCTTGTCCTCCACGTTCACACTACCAGTCGACAACACGTGCGACAGCTTCCTGAAGGTGTTGGTGGGGGCCACAGACTCCTGCTGAACTCTCCCACCCTCTCTCCCCGCCACTCCCCTTCGTTTCCTGCTCCCCCATAAGTTTTCTGGACTTATTGTCTGTGCTCAGTCAACAAACGATGGAAGTTTGACGGGACTTTCCAAAAGCTTCAGCAGACCTCCCTCCACCCGTCCTGTACAGAAAAAGACAAATAAAACTTATGACTTTGTTTTTTATTTCCTCCACTTGTCTAATTGTGTTTGATGGAAGGCTTCTCCTCATAAATCAGATCACAAAAGTCACAAAAAATGTTTGAAAAGAGGCTTTCCATCTGTAAAACTGAACGAGTTAAAAAACACAGTTTTAAAAACCTTTCCTTCAATGTTTCTGCATTAGATCGTTATTAACACAGACGTGTTAATAAGTGCAAACTGTTTCAATTCAATTCAGTTTATTTATATAGCACCAAGCCACAACAGACGTCATCTCAGGACACTGAACAGAAACATTCATATACAGGTGCAGGTCATAACATTAGAATATCGTGAAAAAGTTGATTTATTTCAGTATTTCCGTTCAAAAAGGGAAACTTGTATATTGTGTTAAATAATGTTGATAATTATAACTGACAACTAATGAAAACCCCAAATGCAATATCTCAGAAAATTAGAATATGGTGAAAAGGTCCAATATCGAAGACACCTGGTGCCACAGACTAATCAGCTAATTCACTCAAAACATTTGCAAAGGCCTTTAAATGGTCTCTCAGTCTTGTTCTGTAGCTACACAATCATGGTGAAGACTGATGACTTGACAGATGTCCAAAAGACAACCATTCACACCTTGCACATGGAGGGCAAGACACAAAAGGTCATTGCTAAAGAGGCTGGCTGTTCACAGAGCTCTGTGTCCAAGCACATTAATAGAGAGGCGAAGGGAAGGAAACGATATGGCAGAAAAAAAGTGTACAAGCAATAGCGATAACCGCACCCTGGAGAGGATGGTGAAACAAAACCCATTCCAAAATGTGGGGGAGATTCACAAAGAGTGGACTGTAGCTGGAGTCAGTGCTTCAAGAACCACCACGCTCAGACGTATGAAAGACAAGGGGTTCAGCTGTCACATTCCTTGAGTCAAGCCACTCTTGAACAAGAGACAGCATCAGAAGCGTCTCGCCTGGGACTGCTGCTGAGTGGTCCAAAGTTATGTTCTCTGATGAAAGTAAATTTTGCATTTCCTTTGGAAATCAATATCCCAGAGTCTGGAGGAAGAGAGGAGAGGCACAGAATCCATGTTGCTTGAGGTTCAGTGTCAAGTTGCCACAGTCAGTGATGGTTTGGGGTGCCATGTCATCTGCTGGTGTTGGTCTACTGTGTTTTCTGAGGTCAAAGGTCAACGCAGCCGTCTACCAGGAAGTTTTAGAGCACTTCATTCTTCCTGCTGCTGATCAACTTTATGGAGATGCAGATTTCATTTTCCAACAGGACTTGGCACCTGCACACAGTGCCAAAGCTACCAATACCTGGTTTAAGGACCATGGTATCCCTGATCTAAATTGGACAGCAAACTCACCTGACCTTAACCCCATAGAAAATCTATGGGATATTGTGAAGAGGAAGATGTGATACACCAGACCCAACAATTCAGCAGAGCTGAAGGCCACTATCAGAGCAACCTGGGCTCTCATAACACCTGAGCAGTGACACAGACTGATCAACTCCATGCCACGCCACATTACTGCAGTAATCCAGGCTAAAGGAGCCCCAACTAAGTATTGAGTGTTGTACATGCTCATCCTTTTCATGTTCATACTTTTCAGTTGGCCAACATTTCTAAAAATCCTTTTTTTATTGGTCTTAAGTAATATTCTAATTTTCTGAGGTACTGAATTTGGGGTTTTCATTAGTTGTCAGTTAAAATCATCAACATTAAAGAAATAAACATTTGAAATATATCAGTCTGTGTGTAATTAATTAATATAATAGGCAAGTTTCACTTTTTGCTGGTATTACTAAAATAAATCAACTTTCTCATGATATTCTAATTTTATGACCAGCACCTGTATATAAAAAGTAAGTTAACACTATTTCTCTGAGGAGCAGACTGCTTTGAATTTAACTTCATCACAGACTTTCATGTTGAACAAGTACGAAGGCGACAGTGGAAAGGAAAAACTCCCTCATGAGGAAGAAACCTTTAGCAGAACCAAGCTCAGAACAAGCGGCCATTTGCTTCGACCGACTGGGTTTGAGAGGAACAGGAAGGAGGAATAGATACACAATGGCAGGTCAAGAATCACATGTTAAGATAGAAATAATATTAAATGAAAACTATTCAGTTGTAACTATTAATTTAAGGAATTTAGGTCAATTTGTCTTCTAGTAGTCTAAGCCTATAGCAGCATAACAAGCCAACCCTAACTTGCTGATTGAGGCACTTCACCGGTTTCTGACGCGTTAGCGGCGACACAGTCTGTATCCATGGACGAGACGGTAACGCTGGAGCGGCAGGCGACGGAGTGGGAGCGGTGGGCAGCCCGGAGGACAGCGCAGGACAGCAAAACTCAGCACACGGGGCGAGACTCCATCAGCAATAGCTGCTGCAGTGCTTCTCCAGGTGGATTTAGTAAATATTTTAGAATAAATGGCCACGTGGGTGAGTCATTGTCTACACCTTGAGCTTTAGCAGCTTGGAGCATCAGATTGAAGCTGGTTTAAGAAAGAGCTATTCTGAAACTGAAATAGTGAAAGCAGTAGTACGTGCCATAAACCCTGGACTGAAGTTGAGGAGTTGTTTGGAGGGAAAAGCAGATCTCACCCTAACATGAGTCTAGCACATCGTTTAACTCCAAAAGCACAGCCAAGCCTTCTTCTTCTTCTCTTTGTAACAGTTCATCTCGTTCACAAAAACGAATAATAAGCTTAAGAAGAGCTCTGTGCGTTTTACTCTTAATATTCTTATCATCCTTTTCTGTGGTGTCACACAGTTCACATACTCTTTGCAGTTCTTTTACAGAAAGTCCACACAACTTCTGTTCCAACTTCAGCCAAAAATCTTCACGATCCTCCGACATATTTGCAAGCTTGCCTTCTTCTCTGAATTTTACGAGAAAACAATACGGTTTGTGTCGCACTAGCTGGACTCAAGCTGTAATATTTAGCAATAGCCATTCACTCTGCACACTCCTTTACCGTTGTTTTCTCTCTCTCTCCGTGAGGTAGTGCCACAAAATAATGTGTCATGGTGGAACCTCCAAATTGTTACACCACTCCAGGGACACTTGGTGTCAGAAAAAAAAAACGAGTTTATTGACTACCTCCAAAGAAAAATAAAAAATGTGCCTTACAGTCAACAGGACAGGTGGTTATGTTCTTAGACTCAGTTGCAACTAACCCCCACCCCCCCATTACTACACAATTTTTAACGAGAGTCTATGGATTAGACTCTTGCGCCCCAGAGGCCGGAAGTACGTCACCAATCAGACCACATTTTTGAAAGAAACAACGTAATTCAGCATTAACTATAAAATATTTATCTTACACAACTAAATATATATACATATATTTCAAAATATTTTTATTTTATTATTTCATTTTTATTTAATTTTTTTTTAAGTCTTCAATGTACAATGGTGAGTGGTTCCAGTGGGTGGGCGGCGCTCGAGCGCCCCCTACTGACGAGCTGCCACTGCAGCTCTTTCTACGTAACAGTTTTAGGCTGCTTCCCTTTAAACACGGAATTGATTATACGGTCCACTCAACTGACTATACAGTCAATTGATACACTCAACCAGTTATGAGTCATGCTTTCAATACAATAAATATAAAGTATATAGGAAAACAGTCAAACAGTCAAACAGATAGGTATTATCAAACTTTGAGAAATAACAGGAAAACAACAGCAACACAAAACATCATTAAATTTTCCATAACAATGAATATATTGTGGTATCATCTACATGGTTGGATCTGTACCCATTTAAAACTTTCTGCACCAAAATTAGTCAACTTTTGACCTTTCTTCAAATTGTTCATGTTAAGAGTTAATTCTCATTTTTGTGGCCCACGAGTCCTTTCATCTTGATAATTTTGGCCCACATATACAAACGTTTGGACACCCAATACGCACACAATCTATATTTGGTTTCTCTGGTTGGCTTGCTGCTGTTGTTTAATTTTTTAAATTTTTTGGTTGA